AACCAATGCAGGTTCAAAGGAAAGTTCATTTATTGGAAAGTAGTGAACAGCTCTAGAAGCATAGCTGGAACTGAGTCCCACGCACGCCAAAACTTACTTTTACCTCACTCCCATTTCACCCCCCCTTCTGTCTTTGAATTTCTCTTGTGCATGTCAAAGATGTTCCCAGGTTCCCACATTGGTACGACCTTGGGCATTCCTGAGAGCCAGATAATGGCCCATCCCTGCCTAACGGTTAACATTCCAACCTTCTCTCCCTTCCTCCCTCTCTACTGCAATGGCAGAAACGAAGCAAGCGAACTAGCAGGGCAAGTGATTGGTTGCGGGGATTCTGACAGCCACGTGCACTCAGCATTGTGTGGAATGCTGTGACGACATTTATTCCAAAGGAGTACAGTAACGTCTTCATTTCTGGTCTCTCGTATTCCATAAGGCCTTGAAGACCTTGGTTCTTCTCCCAAGTTTCGGGTTGAGATGGGTGGAGTCCCTTGTTGGATGAGTTTTTTGTCTGTGTTTTTGTATAGGGTGACTGGTCTGATCTTGTTTTGTATTGTGTTGCATGGTGTATTATATTGTGAGCCACCCAGAGTCAGTTTGGAGTTGGGTGGCGCCTAAATTGAATTAAGTAAATAATAATTTTTCCTACTTTCTTCTTTTTTTCCCCCAGCCGCCTAAGGAGTAATAGTAATTTTCTGAAAATTGAGAAGCAGAAACAACCTTGTAGGCAGAACAGCTGAATATTTAAAACTCCCTCAGACCTGTGTGGTGGTTGCAAAGCCTCGGTGTCTCAACTCGTCAGACTGGCTAAACAAGGGTTGGTGAAGCTGAGGAGCATAGAAATTTGGGAGGGATCACATTGTGAAACACCAACAACCACTGTTTCTGTTGGACGATTTGAAGGAGTATGGCTGCTAGGCCAGGAGATTTTCAGGACAAACCTACAACGAAGCACTACAGTATTAACTTAAGACTTTTGAGGTAAATTGGGCTGCACAGGATGGATTACTTTCTGAGAAATTAAAAGTCCAGTTCTGGCAAGTAACAAAGCTGGAATGAAAGTTGGGGCTAAGAGTAGCCTTAATTCCATGTAACGTTTGCTATTCTTGGCCAAGTCACTGATTCATTTGCTTGGGCTTGGACAGTAGTTAGGTCTGAAAGTACTGGTAGATCTCTCCATGATTTGCAGAAGATCAGCAAGCAGTTTTGACTCCCAGTTTTGACTCTCCTCCCCTCAATTATATTACTGAAATGAAGAAAACTTAGGTTCCTCAGAATGGTGTTTTTTTTGGTGGAAGAATGTGAACTCCATTCAGTTCCGGAGTTGAGTATATACAACGCGGTGATCAAAATTACATTTAAAAAGAACAACTTAATGTCAACAACAATTCCTGTAAACGCTGAATTGCATCTGTGCTTGTGGTGTCTGCTTAGAAGACTGTCTTGGACAGCATCCTTGTAAATATACAGGGGGAAAGCTTGACAATACTTCCTTGCAATTCTATTTAAGGTACAGGAGTAAATCAGCATAGGCTGAAAGCAGTTGCAAGCAACAGTTAATTTAACTCTAAAGGCCCTAGTTTTTAGGAAGTCACCTTGAGCGTTCCCCCCCCCCCAAAGATTGAGCAAGGGATGCAAAGGCTGCAGCTGGTAGCACTTAAGTAATTTCTACAAACTGCTGCTGGCTGCATTCTCTGTTTTGCATTGCCCACATGATTACAGCTGCTGGCATGGTTGAATAGGTTGTCGCTGAAGCCTGCAGGTGAAACTTTGAGCTGCTCCTTATCCTACCTGGTTAAAAACAAAACTCTCCCCTTATGAAAGCTCTTTATTTTCAAAAGGTGAGCAACAAACTGATAACCAGCAGGAAAGATGGTTGCCCTCTAGTAGCTTCTCCCCTAAAGAATGTAGTTTCTGAAAGCAACACCTTTAATTGGCAAGCAAGATGGATGTGTTTCTGCACATAATAATGAGACAGCTCCTCCTCACTACTTGGACTATGGTGAAGTGATCGAACAGACCAGTGTTTCTCAACCTTGGCAACTTTGAGATGAGTGGGCTTCAACTCCCAGAACTCCCCAGCCAGCCATGCTGGCTGGGGAGTTCAGGGAGTTGAAGCCCACTCATCTCAAAGTTGCCAAGGTTGAGAAACACTGGAATAGACTGAGTCACTACAGATTGCAAAGAGAAGAGGCTACCCTGGGTTGCCCCTCATATAAAGCAGAGTCCCAGCCACTACACGAAAACAAGTTAAGACGCGTCGCTGCTTTAACCCTTTCACGACCCTTCCGACAGCCAGCTTGCAGGTGTTCGTTGCCATTTCTAAAAAAATAAGTTTTTCAAGGGCTCCTGATGACTGACTGTCTGTGCAGGGTGGTGGTAACAATTATGAGAGACTGTGGGAACCAGGGAGAGGAGGAGGTCATTGGGTTGAAGGAGGGGCAGCCCGGAGGTGAGAGACGTGAGCTTGTCACACGTCTGCCTGGGAACGTTTTACAATTTTCAGTTCGTTCTTATGTTCTTGAGTTTGCTAGTGAGGTTGGCCTTGACAACAGTGCAGAAGTGGTTTGCCATTGTCGTCTTCTGAGGTTTCTTTTGGTTTTCTGGTGTACTTGTGGCTGCCCATCCAAGTGCTAACCGGGTCCTGCCTATCTGAGCTCTTCCATTCTCTACTGTGATGGAACAGATTGGGACACTCTTTTGTTTTCTGTGAATACGGTTTTAACACACAGCTTATTTAGGTGGTGCTTGGAGTTACAATAATTCCAACAACTGAACTCTTTCCCATTTAGTACCAACATACCCCTATATACATTACAGGGCAAACATTTTGATTTTCTTTCTAACAACCTTACTATAATCCAGGGAGGAAGTAGGTCTCTTCACTGATAACGGAAGAACTTGTAGCAAGCTGTTTATCTAATGCTTTCCTGCATCTTTATCAGTCTGTGAACCAACCCTGTCTTTGAATTCCACGTTGTTAGATAAAAGATCTGATGGGTATTCTCAGAAAATAAAACAAGCGGCTTCAGCCCAGGGTTTTGTTTACTGATAAGTAACAATGATATTTGGGTACTTTGGGATTATGCCCTTAGTGGCTGTCATTTTGGGAATGTGCCTGTAGCATGCTCTGAAAATTTCAAATGTGTCCACCAGCCTAGAGTGATTGGGGACGGTTTCTGCCTGTCACACCAGATCCAACAGGGAGGATGTGCTCCAGGTCTTCTCCATTGAACAATGCCATCTTGTGGGACTGAGGAGCGATGTCTTCTCTGTCGCAGCGCCTACCCTGTTGTAATGATACGTGAGAAAGACCTTAAAAGACAGGCAAAGAGATGCAGCATAGGGAATGATTGGATAAGAGAGGGCATAGCCCACAGCTGCGTAATGGGAGGAGAAAGAGGCTCAGAAGGGACCCTCACTAGCTGCCCACGCTGTAAGGGAGACGGTGGGAGATTTGTACCTTCAGACTTGCAAGATTCTGTTAATGTAGCCTTACAATAAAGTAGAATTAGCTCATCTAGTCATGTTTCCTGTCCTTCCTGGGAAAGCTGACCCCTGTGGAGCAACATCCCCTCGAGATCCAGAGGCCACGATCCTCTCGGCCTTCCAGGAGGCTGTGAAGATCTGGCTTTCCCCCCGGGTATTGGGCTGGGAGACAACTGAGCCTAATAGAGGTATACTTTGTATTGGTGAGTTTGTTATACGGTGCCTTGGTTATTATACTACAGTATGTTTAATTTTAATTATGTTTTCTGTTCGGCTTATAGAGGTTTTACTATACTGCTTTTGTGGCTTGCTGTTAGCCATCCAGACTTCGTATGTTAATTAGGTGGCCATATAAAACTTCTAAATAAATAAATAGACCTGTGTTCTATATTGCCTAATATCAATTTCATCTTCAAGCGTGAAATATATGAAAATTGTTGTTCCTCATATCAGTTGAGTACTGGGCTCCAATTAGAGATGTAAGGTTATTGCAGCCCTCAGCTCAGCAAAGCCCGGACCTTTCTGTCTAATATTTAACTTCTGTAGATTTCTGCCTTCCACCAGAAGTGGTGAAAGAGTGCTGATAATTGCTTTCTGTTTCTCACTGTGCATTCGTATCGCTGAAAAATAGGATCTCACAGGGCTGCTGCTGCTTCTTCTTTTACAGATTTGGATCTTCAATGGCCGGAGAAAGATCGAGGAAGGGGTTGAAATGAATATGAATGCTATCCTAGAAGAGATTCTGATTAAAAGGTCTCAACAAAAGAAAAGGACATCTCCTTTAAATTACAAAGAGAGGCTTTTTGTGCTTACAAAATCCATGTTAGCATATTATGAAGGTCGTGCAGAGGTAGGAAACTGGATTTCAGTTATGTATTTTTGCTGTTGCCTTTTGGGTGGGTATGTCTGTGTACTTCATAAATCTTTGAATCATCCCTTATTTAAAAGGAACTAGTAGTTGTGACTGAGTGGGCTTTTGCTGACATTTCATATACATAGTTCCTCTTATAATGTGATATACATTATTGACTGCTTTCAGGAACCCTGCCACGTACAGATTCTCAGGAGTTAATCCTTATTCTCCCCAAGTCTGAGGAGCTTCTTACTCTGTCTGAAGCACAGGAGCTGCTGTAGGACAGTTTTGCAAAATCCTGACTTGATGGAAACATCAGAATGCTCAAAATGACTCAAAAGTAGGGTCATCCCTATTTCTGAGAAAGGCCATATAAGCAGAGGGCAACCCTAACTAGACCCCCATGAAAATCCAGACATCCACCAGATGGCCGGAAGGAGACGGAGAAAATTCTAACTTTCTGTTGCCATCTAGCGCAGATCTGGATTTTTATAGGTCAGGTATGGAAGTCCTACACAAGCATAAGAACGTGCCAAAACTGGCTCTAAATTCAGTCCAAGAACAGGAGAATGGAGAAAAAACACACAGTGCCTGCTCCAAAATCCCTAACACAGCCTGCCTGAACAGTGCTTTTGCCTGGTTGCTGAAGTATCAGTCTACTCCTTGGTGCCTTATTTAGTACAGCTGTGTGTACTTCCAAAATGATATGGAAGAAGTGTGTGAGTACAATGCCTCTTTTCAGTTCATTAAAGGAAACCTGAAAACTAAAGAAAATGACTGGTTAGGGCAGTGTTGTCCACACTTGGCCACTTTAAGATGAGTGGACTTCAACTCCCAGAATTCCCCAGCCAGCA